TGTGTGTGTGTGTGTGTGTGTGTGTGTGTGTGTGTGTGTGTGTGTGTTGGGTGCAAGAAAGAGGAAGAAGTTAGGAAAAGGAAGGTTACCAGTACTTACTTAACACAGTGCCTGACACACAATAGGTGCTTAATAAATATTTGTTGATCATTAGGTTCATTACCTCATATGGGTATGATTCTTCTGAAGTTCCACATAAAAGCACTACAACTATCCGTATCATCCAAAGTGACTTCTAGAATTTCCTCAGATGCTTATGAGGAACAGCAGGAGTACTCAAGGGTCTCTCTACACTACCTGCACTACCTCTAAGAAGCAGCTGGGTGGAGCAGTGGATAGAGCACCAGGCCTGGAGTCAGGAAGACTCATCTTTCTGAGTTTAAATCTGGCCTCAGATACTTCCTAGCTGTGTGACCCTGGGCAAGTCACTTAATTCTGTTTGTCCCCGTTTCCTTATCAGTAAAATGAAGGGGTTGAACTAGATGGTCTCTGAGTTCCTTTGCATCTCTAATTCAATAATTCTATGTTCTAAGGGAAAAGAAAGAAAGAAAGAAAGAAAGAAAGAAAGAAAGAAAGAAAGAAAGAAAGAAAGAAAGAAAGAAAGAAAGAAAGAAAGAAAGAAAGAAAGAAAGAAAGAAAGAAAGAAAGAAAGAACTAGAATTAAGAACTAGAATTAAGAACTAGAATTAAGAACTAGAATTAAGGAGGAGTGAGGGACCAGAATGGAAAAAACCACTGACTCAAAATAGGGAAGGGAAATGCAGGAAGAGGAAGATATGTAAGTGATTCTCAGAATGATGTGAAACTTAGCCCTTTTTTCCAGCTCTCAGGAGAGCTAAGAAGAATAGAAAGGACAATGAAATTGAAGTGAGGTGGGACAGGATAGGAAAAAAACTCACTAGCCAGTCATACAGATAGGCAGAAAAACAAGTGAAAAGAGGTTCCTAGATGCTACCGTAAGGGCACAAGCCCAACCATTTTTCACACGGGAGATGAGAGAGAAGAAGGGAAGAGATATGTCATGGAGGAGACCAGGAGGAATGCTACCATGGGAACTGGTGGGACACTTGATATGAAGACAGAGGAGTTGGGTTTGAATCCCGGTTCGTTCACATGCTCGTGTGACCCTGGGTACATCACTTAAGCTGCACATTACTAGGCCTAAGCATCCATATCTACAAAATAAGGTCTTGTTGTTGTTTAGTCATTTCAGTCATGTCCAACTCTTCGTGACCCCATTTGGGGTTTTCTCAGCAGAGATACTGGAGTGGTTTGCCATTTCCTTCTCCAGTTCAGATGAGGAAACTGAGGCAAACAGGGTTAAATGACTTGCCCAGGATCACACAGCAGGTAAGTGTGTGAGGCCAGATTTGAACTCAGGAAGATGAATCTTCCTGACTCCAGGGCCAGAGCTCTCTGCACTGCACCTCTTAGCTATAAAATGAGTGGGCTGTATCAATTATGAAATAGATGAACAAATTATGGTCTATGAATGTAATTGCATGCTACCGTGATGTAAGAAATGATGAAGGGAACAGTTTGAGAAACCAAGGAAAACTTGCATGAACTGATATAGAATGAGGTGAGAAGATCATGTTGAATAATTTATATAACAATAGTAGCTGTAAAGACAAACAACTTTGAAATCCTTAGGAACTCTGATCAACGCAATTCCTAAGTGAATGTTCATAGGTCTCATGATGAAATGTGCTATCCCTCTTCTGACACAGCGATAATGGACTCAGGACACACATTGTACAATGTACTTTTTGGACATGGCCAATACGGAAATTTGCTTTGCTTGACTGTATATTTGTTACAAGGACTTTGTTTTTCTTTCTTTTTTCAGTAGGAAAGAGGGGGTTGGTGAGAGGGAAGAAAAATATTTTAGTTGGAAAAAAATTTAATATAAAAAATAATAAAATGAAGGGATTAGACTCAATGACCTCTAAAGTCTAAATGTTTCAGTCTAACATCTTCATAATCTGCCCTAGAAGAAAAAGAAAAGGAAGGTTTGCATGCAGTAGCTAAGATCAGATTTAACAGGTAGCATCTTCTCATCAAAAATAAGACAGTGGTTCTCTTTCTGGTTTCTACAACCCTTTGTTCAATATTACTAGGATTTTTGTGGTTCTCAGGTTGCTGAAAGAAGAAAATTATTTCTGAAGGGGAAGCAGGACAAGACAGTGTATTTGTAGTGGAATTGAATGGCTTTAAAAATCCCATTTGTATGCTGTGACAGACATAAAGTTGTCTAGTGTGAAGCCATAATTCTGTATGATACAACTTCCTATCTGACACATTGCAAATCATGTCTTATCTTAAGAGGTTTGTGTGTAGGAGAAAGACAACAGGGAGAGATAGCTGGGTCTGCTTCTGTCTTCTCAATGTAGGTAAAGGAAAATTAAAACTGATAAAATGCCTTTTTGGAGGGAGAGAGTGGGAGAGGGGTGGTAGAATGTCTGGTAGGCCAATCCAATTCTGTATTCTATATCTTTCCGCTTCAATCCAGCCTCCATGCCAATCCATTATACCTGGTAAGAGATAGGGCACTATCAGTTCCCATGCAGCCCCATTCTTTTGATCTAGGGGAGGGAGAAAATTTTTCTTATGGGAGCTCACCTAGCCTTTCCAAGGGAACCCTTCAGGGCCTTTATGTATCAAAGTAATAAGTGGTTCTGCTAAATGGGAAGCAGCTACTAACAATGATAAGCTAAATCTACTCCTAAACCCCACTTTCTCTTAATTGAGTCCCTTACAGAAGGAAAACAGCAATAACCTGATTCATTTCTGCTTGACAATGGGGCATATGTAGCAGGAGGAAAGGGAGACGAGGAGTGTGAAAAGTACTTTAAGCAAGTCAGCTTTGTCTGTATAGTTTCATTTCCTTACCTAACCTAATAAATACTAGTCATTTGCACATAATTAAAAATATCTAAATTATGTTAGGCCTGAGAGACCAACATACCAAAGTACGGGTGCCAAGGCCATCACAGAGCGGTGGCATCTCCTTGTTTAAGCAGATCTTCACCATCATCCTAATCAACAGTTGTAACTTTCTCCGATTTTCAGGAGGCAGGAGGAGACAGCAAATCTGAAATGCTTCAATAGCAATTTTCTCTTTCTGTAACAAACCTGGTTTTGAAAAATAATAATTTTTAAACACCTAAGCCCCATTTGGCTCTGCTACTTTTACATGTGTATAAGATACAGTATATTGTTTAAAATGACACAAAACCTTACTTTCGTCAACCGTCATGCCCTATTATTTAGTTGGACTTCCTACTATCATCTGAAGCTCAATATGGCAGACATTCTGCCATCTGATCTGCTCCCATACCCAGAATACTGGTAGTAACACTTGATACACCCTCACCCTTTACATTCTGCATCTAATAACACCTTTTTTTGGGGGCTGAGATTCTTGAGTTTATTTATGTAGGGAATTACCTATATGGAAATTCATTCCATTAAAGCAAATGGGCAACTCTTTGGTAACGTGTAGTCTTCAAGAGTCGCCTGGTGGTACACTGACAGTTAGTCAATAAACATTTATTAATCACCTATGATGTACTAAGCACTATGCTGAGTACTGAGAATACAAAGAAAGGCAAAAGATAGTCCCTTCTCTCAAGTAGTTCACAATCTAATGGGGGAGACAATAGGAAGACAACTATGCAGAAACAAGATATAATAAAAAAAATTGGAAATAATCAATAGAGGGAAGGCGCTAGCATTAGAGGAAACCTGGAAAGGCTTCTTGCAAAAGGTGGGACTTTAGCTGGGACTTGAAGGAAGCCAGGGAAGCCAGGAGGCAGAGGTGAGGAGAGAATGCATTCCAGGCAAGGGGAGCAACCAGAGAATATGTTCAGGGTCTAGAGATGGTTTTTCTTTTTCTGGAAACAAGGAGGCCAGTTTTACCAGATCACATAGTATGGGGTAGGATAGGCTGGAAAGAGGTTGAGGGGGAAGTTAATAAGGGCTTTGAATGTCAAACATAGAATTTTATATTTGATCTTGGAAGTGATAGGAAGCAAATGGAGTATTTTAATCTTAGAAAAACGTGGATATACTTGCATGAAATAATGAAGAGCAAAATGGGCAGAACCAAGAGAACGCTGTATACAGTAACCGCAATATTGTTTTAAGAACAACTTAGAGTGAATAAGTCATTTTGATTGTTATACATACCCAAATTAACTACAAAGGACATGTGAAGTTAGATGTTATCTGCATCCAGAGAAAGAACTGATAGGTAGAAGTGTATATAGAATGGTTTTACATATATGTATGTATATATATGCATACATATATATGCAATATATATATACATATTTGTATCTAATGGTAGCCATCTCTAGGTTTGGGGGTGGGGGGGACAAAAGGAAAAGAAAAGAAATGTACATGATAATTTTGTTATGCATTTAAAAGGAAAAGCAAGTTGTACATAATGGATTTGCAGTTTCATGTGCAATCATCTTTTTTTATTATACTATGTTATGGAAATGCTTGTTTTATTCCATAAATTTAAAACAAAATAAATAAATGGGGGAAAAAGGAAGTTAAGTGATTTGTCCATGGTAGCTTGGCAAATGTACATCAGACAGGACTTGAACGCAGGTCTTCCTGACTCTAAAGCTGACCCCTCCATCCACTATTGCTCTACTGCCTCACTACCAACTTCTTTAATTTCTTTATAAATAACCTCTCAAATACAGATTCATTTCTATTGGTAAAGTTATTTTTTCTAACATTATGTATACTAATTTTATTATATGATACCCTAGTGCCTCCTTAAATCAGGTATAAAGTCCTCCATTAGATTACAGCTCTGTGAGAGCAAGAATTTTTTTTTTTGCCTCTCTTTATATCCGTAAGTGCTCAGCACAGTGCCTGGCACATAGTAGGCACTTAAGAAATGCTAGTTGATTGATTATACTGGACCTCTAACACCTTACTCTAGTCTAGCACACCTGTCTCCAAATATACCCACAGCTACAGCCTTTGTTTTAACAAAATGTCTATGCTGAATAACTTCATTCCTCCACTGGCCTTGCCACTAAAAGCAAAGGAAACCTCTGATGAATTTTGTAAACCTCATAGTACCAGCCTTCACTTCCACCCCAACATTCAGCTTCCCTTTCCCGGTACCCTTTACCATCTGCACTGACTGTGGGACCTTCTCCTCTCTCCCCTCAACAAAGGCCCTGCTGTATATAGCTTCTACCTGAGCGAAGACCCTGCTTTGGCCCCAGGACCTATCACCAATGACTTTCAGCTGGCAAAGGCTCACTTCCCATCAGGCTGTTGCTGTTCATCCCTCATGTTGTTGCATCCTTTGGTTCCCCTCCTTTTTCCCTCCCAATCTTCCCACTGGGTACAGAATGCAGAAAAGAAGTCACCACTTCAGTCAATACAAAAATTAACTTCATGTAAAAGCACAAAATGGGAAATTATAGTTAGACAGCAGATTGTCTGAAAAAAGATCCAGGGATTTTAGTGAACTGCAGGCTCCGTGTGAGTCATTAGTGTGATGTGACAGACAAACCACTAAGTTAAGGATATATTAAGAGAGCTCCCAGGAATGGAGAGGTGAGAGCCCCACTCTGCTCTGCACCGGGAGGACCACATTTAGAGTACTGTGTTCAACGCTGGATGACACACTTTAGGAGTGACATTGATAAACTGAAGAGTCCAGAAGAGGGCAACCAGAGTCACCTGAAGGAACTGAGGATGCTAAGTTTGGGGAAGAGAAGAGTCAGACAAGACAGGATAGTTGCATTTCAGTATTTTAGGAACTGTTATTTGGAAGAGGGATTAGACTTGTTTTGTTTTAGACTTAAGAGGGCAAAATCAAGAAAAATGAGTGGAAGTACAAGAAGCAAATTTGGGTTGGGCATCAGAAAACACTTCTCCAAGTGGAAGTGGTGCTTTACTAAGTTGTTCTTAAAACAATATTGCGGTTACTGTATACAGCTTTTGCTCTTCATTATTTTGTGTAAGTGTATCCATGTTTTTCTAAGATTAAGAAACTCCACTTGCTTCCCATTGGAGGGATTCAATGCAGAGGCTGGGTGACACCCTGTTGGAGATGGAGTAGGGATTTATGGTAGGGTAGAGGCTGGACTGCATGGTGTTGTTTTCCAACTCTCAAACTCTATGTCCCTACATCTGATTAGATGTATGGGGTGGAAAAGTGGGAGAGAAGGAAGAAAAACTTCCTAGGCAAGGTGATTTTCAGGAGCCTGGAATGATGCCATGGGTTCTAGGAAGGAGGGGCAAAAGAAGTCTGTAGGAGTACTCAAATTCCCCAGACATATTTAAAGTTTTGGGAGGTAGATTCAGGAGGTAGTGCTGGTCAGGTTGGAAGTTAAAAAACCAGCCTGAGATGAGAGAAGGGATTGAGAGAGCACAAAGGAGGGGCTAGGTGAGAGTATTTCTGTTCCTATGCTACAGAGAATTTGGAGCATGAGATTGGAGTTTGTTGTGAGAAAAACTTTCTACAGGACAGAACTGCTTGTTAATCCTCCCCCTCCCCATCCTCCTATGAATAATAATAATAATAATAATAATAATAATAATAATAATAATAAACATTATTATTACCATGACAATGAAATCTAATATTTATATAGCACTTTAAAGATTGCAAAGCACTTTATAAATATCACATTTGATCTGCACCATCAACCCTAAGAAGTAGGTACTATTAGTATCCCCATGTATACAGAAGGAGAAACTGAGGCAAACAGAGGTTAAGTGACTTGCTCAGGATCACACAGCTAAAAAGCATCTGAGGCAGGATTTGAATTCAAGTTAACATGACTTCAATATTGTAATATTCTATCCACTGTATCACATAGCTTTCTTAAAGTAATGAGCTATAATGAATCAGTATAAGATCAGGTTCTTATCTCCCACAGTGCATCTGAATCATAGGTGTGTGAGTTCCTCCTAGTTTTATTTTAGGGAAGATAGTGCCCAGGGAGGCACAGAGTGACATAGTACACATCACTCAATCAATCAATGTACATTTATTAAGCACCTACTATGTACCAGGTACTGTGTTAAGTTCTGGGAAATAAAAAAAGAGGCAAAACACATTCCCTGCCCTCAAGGAGCTCACAATCTAATGAAGGAGACAACATGTAAACAAATACATGCAAAGCAAGCTAAATAAATGATAAATAGGGAATAATTAATAGAAGGAAGACAATAGAATTAAGAGGTTTCCAGTAAAAGATGTAATTTTAATTGTGACTTAAAGCCAAGGAGGTCAATAGAGAGAGAGCAGAGGAGGGAGAGCATTCCAGGCATGTGGGGCAGCCAGAGAAAATGCTGGGAGCCAAGAGATGGAGTGTCTTGCTCATGGAATAGCCAGGAGTGCCAGTTCACTGGATTGAAGAATACACAGTAGAGAGTAAGGTGTTGTTAGAATACTGGGAATGTAGGAATGGGCTAGGTTATGTAGAGCTTTATATGCTAAATGGTATTCTGTATTTAATTCTGGAAGCAATAGAAAGCCACTGGAATTTACTAAGTAGGAAGGTGAAATGATTGGACCTGCACCTTAGCAAAATCACTTTAGTGGTTAAATGGAGGGTGGGTTGGAGTGGGGAGGGACTTGAGGCAGGCAGATCCAGCAAGTTATTAAAATAGCACAGGCATGAGTAACGAGGGCCCACACTGGTGTGGTGACAGTGTCAGAAGAGAGGAGGGGGAGTATTTGAAAGATGTTCAAAAGGTGAAAGCAATAGGCCTTGGCTTTGGATACATGGGATGAGAGATAATGAAGAGTCCAGGACAACTCTTAGGTTCTGAGCCTGAGTATTGCTCTCCACAGCAAGAGGGAAGGTAAGACAGGATTAGGGTACAGGGGGAAAGATAATGAGTTCCGTTTTGGACACATTGAATTTAAGATGTCTACTGGACATCTAGTTTGAGATGTCTGAAAGGTAGTTGGAGATGTGAGACTGGAGGTCAGCAAAGAGATTGAGGAAGGATAGGTAGATTTTAGAATCACCAAAGATGGTAATTAAATCCATGGAAGGTGATGAGATCACCAAGTGAACTAGCATAGAGGGAGAAGAGAAGTGGGCCCAGGACAGAGCCCTGAGGGACACCTATGGTTGCAG